TCGTGCGTGTCGAGTGCGCGAAATGCAGGCGAGAGTGCGATTTGTCCGGTGCCCGCGCAACCCTCTGCGGAGATCGTGCGCGTCGAGCGCGCGAAATGCAGGCGAGCACTGGCGACTTTGTAGTACAACTTTAGTACGCGGGGTATCTGGGGAGCTGGAAGATGAGAACTGGTGACTTGGTAGTACGACTTTAGTACGCGGAGCAATTTGTGGAGCTGGAAGCTGAGAACTGGCGACTTTGTAGTACAACTTGAGTACGCGGAGCAATCTGTGGAGCTGGAAGCTGAGAACTGGCGACCTTGTAGTACAACTGTAGTACGTGGAGTATCTGGGGAGCTGGAAGCTGAGAACTGGCGACCTTGTAGTACAACTTTAGTACGCGGAGTATCTGGGGAGCTGGAAGAGAGTCCCACAAGTGTCCCGCAACAGTGTCCCACTAGAGTGTCTCACAAGAGTGTCCCTTAAGAGTGTCCTACAGGAGTATCCCACAAGAGTGTCCTACAAGAGTGTCCCACAAGAGTGTCCCACGAGAGTGTCCTACAAGACTGTCCCACAAGAGTATCCTACAAGAGTGTCCCAAGGAGTCCCACAAGAGTGTCCCACAGAGTGTCCCACAAGAGTGTCCCACAAGAGTCTCCTACAAGAGTGACCCACAAGAGTGTCCTACAAGAGTGTCCTATAAGAGTGTCCCACAAGAGTGTCCCACAAGAGTCTCCCACAAGAGTTTCCTACAAGAGTGTCACACAAGAGTGTCCCACAAGAGTGTCCCACAAGAGTGTCCTACAAGAGTGTCCCACAAGAGTGTCCCACAAGAGTGTCCCACAAGAGTGTCCCACAAGAGTGTCCTGAAAAACTGTCCCACAAAAGTGTTCTACAAGAGTGTTCCACAAGAGTGTGCCACAAGAGTGTCCCACAAGAGTGTCCCGCAACAGTGTCGCTCAAGAGTGTCTCACAAGAGCGTCCCTTAAGAGTGTCCCTTAAAAGTGTCCGACAGGAGTATCCCACAAGAGTGTCCTACAAGAGTGTCCCACAAGAGTGTCCCACAAGAGTGTCCTAGAAGAGTGCCCCACAAGAGTTTCCTAAGAGTGTCCCACAAGAGTGTCCTGCAAGTGACCCACAAGAGTGTCCCACAAAAGTGTCTCACAAGAGTGTCCCACAAGAGTGTCCCACAAGAGTGTCCCACAAGAGTGTCCTGCAAGAGTGTCCCGCAAGAGTGTCCCACAAGAGTGTCCTATAAGAGTGTCCTACAGGAGTATCCCACAAGAGTGTCCTACAAGAGTGTCCCACAAGAGTGTCCCACAAGAGTGTCCTACAGGAGTATCCCACAAGAGTGTCCTACAAGAGTGTCCCACAAGAGTGTCCTAGAAGAGTGTCCCACAAGAGTGTCCCACAAGAGTGTGCCGCAGAGTGTCCCACAAGAGTGTCCTACAAGAGTGTCGTACAGGAGTGTCCTACAAGAGTGTCCCACAAGAGTGTCCCACAAGAGTGCCCTCCACAAGAGTGTCCCACAAGAGTTTCCGACAAGAGTGTCCTACAAGAGTGTCCTACAAGAGTGTCCCACAAGAGTGTCCTACAAGAGTGTCGTGTAAGAGTGTCCCACAAGAGTGTCCTGCAAGTGACCCACAAGAGTGTTCTACAAGAGTGTCTCACAAGAGTGTCCCACAAGAGTGTCCTACAAGAGTGTCCCACAAGAGTGTCCTACAAGAGTGTCCCACAAGAGTGTCCCACAAGAGTGTCCTATAAGAGTGTCCCACAAGAGTGTCCTACAAGAGTGTCCCACAAGAGTTTCCTACAAGTGACCCACAAGAGTGTGCTACAAGAGTGTCCCGCAAGAGTGTCCTACAAGAGTGTCCTTTGGACATATTAGTTTTTCGATCGTGTTTGCATTCGGGTTTGTGGGTTCCATCTTGTTTACTAACTCTTCAAGACGCATTCAATACAGTCCCTGCCGTCAAATTGATTTTGTGGGGTTCAGAGCATCAGCTGGTATCACTACTGACTGCCAGGAGGAAGCGGTGGAATGTCCGAAGGGAAAGTACACCCAACATGAGAATTTTGCAACTTGGGCATGCAAATCCCAGTATAGCTGCTTGCAGCAGCAAACCCGTTTTGTGCTTTGACATTTGTCTTTGCAAAGAGATCTACGGAAGCCAGCCTGGACATCTCCCCAAAAATACACTTGTGCACTTTACGGGCATGTGCCTGGTTTGCTTGCCACCGAGCAGTGCACAGAACATATTGCTTATGTTGCTTCTCGAATTTTCCAATCCCGAGGCCCGAGGCAGGAAACTGGTAGGGACAGCAAACCCTAACCCAGGAAGCATCCTTGCCCTACCATCCAAGAGCTCTGCAGCCGCTCTGGATTTAGATATTGTGCACAGGGCTTGCCTTCCTCGCGGCCCAGTCGAGCAACACCAAAGACCCACAATAGAACATGCACTAGGCAGACCTTGGAATCTCGATAAACACGTCTTGATCAGCTCTCACAATGTCTTCCTTGCTTCCTCCCTGCGTGCCTCCCCTGTCTACTTCCATTCTCTCTCCGCCTGCAAAGAATGCTCGAATCTCCATCAACTACACACATGCACAGGACGCAATTGCACTGCCTTTCATTTTTGCTTGATTGGGGAAGTCCTTGAACTGAGACCAATGGCAAAGCTGGCTTCAACGTCGAGACCTGCTGCATTCCAAACTTTTGCCCTCCAAACCTTTGCCAGACTCTCACCTGACTTTGAAGAGAGTCACGGCACAACACTTTGCAAGACATGCTGTAGCTTTCGGGTTCAATAGGTGCCAATGAGACGAAATGGAAGGACAAAGGCACGTGCCTGACATATCATTTTTGTAGAGGGGTACCAGTCGCATGTCGATTCAACTGTTGGGAGAACATTG